ACTCTCTATTTTATTACCCCGCTCATTTCTGCCCCCTTAAACGTCGGTTTTTTTCCTTTCCTTCGTAAACTGTACTTCCATCTCCTACAACATGCCTTTCGTACCCAATACCCCCGAGTCACTCTCTGCCCTCCTCTCACACACCGATTCAGAGAACCCTTCTACCACATGTTGTGGTGTATCAAACAATGGGAATAAATGTCGCCGCAAGCGAATGCCCTCAGGGTCAGGCCAACCAGCATCCGGAGTGATTGCTGTGTTTAACGATCAAGAAGTCTTCTATTGTGAACAGCATAAGGACCAGTCCCAGGATGTGGCGCTCAGACACACTGCTTCCTTCGCCCGGGGGCGTGAATCGCGTGGCCGCGGGAGTATGGACACTCTTATTGAGAAAATTGAATTGTTGGCTGCTGGTGGGAAGCCCGGAGAGGCTACCACTACAACCGTGACATCAAGGACTAAGAGAGTTGGCCCAGGGGATGATCCATTCATTTTCCCTCCCAAGTCTGCGGGGCTACCGAGACCCCCCACAAGTCATCAGCGAGAGGAACGCAGACAGCAGCAGCAAAAGACAGAGAAGAAACAAACTTTTTGGTCAAAGCTGTGCTGTTGCATTTCTGAAGAGCCGAAGGAAGATCTTTACCCTCGGCTCAAGATGGAGGAAGCGGAATTGCGTGCATCTGCCGCAGGCATTGTGGAAAATGATTCCACCGAGAAGCGTGGGAAAACACATAGAAGGGGCAAAAGTGACACACATCTGGACTTTGAGTCCACTCCACCAACACCACCATTGCCAATGATGTACCCGGACCTTACAGCCCTGATTAACCGGGGGCAGCGCGACACCAGCGCAACTGCGACATCCAGACCGGCAACGGCAGGAAGGGGAGTGACACCTGCCACCCCAAACGACCCCTCAAAAAATGATTTTGGCGGTCGAAGAAATAAAAGTGAGCACACACAACCAAATTGCGAGATACGATTCTGACACCCATCCAGGAACGGGAAACCCCTTGATACCGCCAACTTTAGCGGGGGAAACGGCACAATGCCTTGAACAAGAGCTTGCAAAGCCCTTTTCTGATCGGGACGAGCCGGGCTACATTTATATGTTCTGGCTGTCAGACTCCCCCATATCGCCACAACCAACCCCAGCTTCTACTCCCAATAGCACACCTAAAAAGTCGGGTGGGCACTCCCGCCAGGGAAACGCTTCGGATGCATTGCGAAAGGTGGTTAAGGACTCCGAGAGCGCGCCACAAGGGCAACGCATATTGCTCAAAATCGGGCGAACAAACAATGTCCAACGACGCCTTCACCAATGGTCAACCCAATGCGGGTACAATTTGTCATTAATCCGTTTCTACCCTCACATTTCAGCATCCTCCCCAGGATCCGCAACCCCGAAAGCAACAACCGAGGCCTTGAACAAGCAGGTTGGAAAGAAAGTACCAAATTCCCACCGGATCGAACGACTAATCCACATCGAGCTCGGGGACAACCCGGAAAACCGTCCCGAGATCAAGTGCGACGTCTGCAAAAAGACGCACAAGGAATGGTTCTCGGTGCCGGCCACCCGCGCAGGCTTGCAAGGCGTGGACGAAGTCGTCAAGAAGTGGATCGAATACGGGGAGAAGAGCGCTATGGTCACTGGAGGGGGGGCCTCTATGGCGCAGGCACCGCGCATCCCCAAGGTTACCCCATCCAAAAGTGCGGCCAGCCCCCCAAGGAAGGAGGAGACCCCCAAGTCGGCCACAAAGCGGCCAACGCTGCAGAGCGCTCCGGCTGGCGCTGGCGCCAGAGCAGCGGCTAAAAAGTCTCCATCGCCCCCCGGGAAAGCTAGCGGAAGCGCGGGTAACACCAGGACCGATAATTCCTCGGGCAACAGTACCAAGACTACACCCACGAGAAATGCTAAGACCCCATCTCCGGGTAAGAGTGCGAGGCCACGGACGCCGAGCCGCCCTCCGTCTTCCCGGGGTAAGGCCTCTTCATCTACTCCGAAGACTACCCCTCCGCCCTCGCCGGGCGTGGGCAGCAGTGAAAGGAAGAAGAGGCCCAGTGGCGGTGGCGGGAGGTGGAAGCTCTATGATGAGAATGAGGGATGTGAGGAATATCAACCCGACGACGAGGTAGAATAGTCTAGCGTTATTATTTTTCTTTATTTTTTTCCTTTTCTCTGTTACATTTTTTGTTTCTACACAGGCGTTTGGCGGGGAATATGTTAGATGGCGTTTTTCGCACATTTTTTTTCTTTCTTCTCTTTTTCTTGCTTGGATCGTCACATCCGTACAGTACATTTTCTCCTATATTTGGAGTATCATATAGCGTTGTGTTGTACAGTACGAGTACAGTACTGTACAGTGATACTGTAGGGTTCACGAATAGCAATATACCCTTGAGAGTTAACACCTACGGTACTTGCCATCTTAAATTCTGCAAACCGTGAAACAGTTGCCTCCAATTTTAACAACTACGAGTAACATATTCTCCCCCAGCACAGTGCATGAAAATCTTTCAATCCCTGCGGCTCAGCCCCAAACCAACCAAGCGGTAAATTTAGTTCAGATCCATAGAGCCCCCCATCAACCCCACCAGCCCCACCACCACCACCACCCCTCACCACCAAAATGACCAAATTCCGCGCGTGCATAGACATCCATAACAACCTCGTCAAACAGATCGTAGGCGGAACCCTCTCCAGCGCCTCCCCTTCAACCCTAAAAACCAACCACACATCCCTCCACCCACCAGCGCACTTCTCCGCCCTCTACCGCGACGCGCAAGTCACGGGCTCTCACGTCATCCTGCTATCCCCGGACAGCCACCCGGCGGCGACGGAAGCGCTAGCGGCCTGGCCGGGGGGACTGCAAGTGGGCGGGGGCATAACGGCCGACAACGCGCTCGAGTGGCTGGACGAGCGAGGGGCGGAGAAGGTCATCGTGACGAGCTGGCTGTTCCCGCGCGGACGCGTGGAGGTTGACAGGCTGGAGGAGCTCGTCCGCAGGGTTGGTGGGAGGGGCAGGGTCGTCATCGATCTTAGCTGTAGGAGGGTTGGCGGGAAGTGGATGGTTGCGATGGAGAGGTGGAGTCGTGTCACTGAGGTTGAGGTTTGTAAAGGTTTGTCTTTTCCTTCTCCCGTTGTGGTGGTGGTGGTGGTGGTTCTGTGAGGGGCTGATTGGGGAAGAGTATAGAAACGTTGGATATGTTATCGGACTATTGTTCCGAATTCTTGATACATGCTGCTGATGTGGAGGGGTTGTGTCGGGGTATTGATGAGGAGCTTGTGGAGAGGTTGGGAGAGTGGGTTACTATTCCTACCACTTATGCCGGGGGTGGGAAGGAGTTTGCAGACTTGGAGAGGGTCGAGAGGCTCTCTGGCGGGAAGGTGGACTTGACCTTTGGCAGCGCTTTGGACTTGTTTGGCGGCTCGGGGGTCAAGTTCGAGGACTGTGTGAGATGGAATCGAGAGAGGTCCTGATGGGAATGTATTGTATTTATTTGCTTTGTGGGGCAATGGCACAATAGATAGATTGATACGCAGGCGGAGTATAGTATGCTACGCTATGAAATTTATGGAAAAACCTGCAGGGTAATACGATAACTACCCGTCCATATACCAACTCATATTAAAAACACAGCATGGCATGGAGGACAAACTTGAATTTTTCTTTTTTTTTTAAAAAAAAACCCCCCCCATCCAGCTATACCCCACCAGTATCATATTATCATGCCTTCCCCTCCCAATAATTAACCCCCCACCACCATCCCCGAAGCCTCGCTACCCAAACCACCCTCACATCAGACAAAGAAACTCAAAACAAGAAGCACAAGAAACAAGAGATACTCACAACCAACCCCCCTCCCACCCCACCCAGCCCCCAAATTCCACCCCTTCCACCCAATAAGCACCAAATTGTACCCGAGACCCTGCAGCAGCGGCAGGAGCACTTGGTCCTTCATCGTGATGAGCAGTACCTTCCACCACACGCCGTTCGCCGCGGCGATGCTGTTCAGGTAGCTCTGCTCGAAGCGGAGATCCGGGATGGGGGGTAGGGGGTGCTGCCTTTGGTAGCGGTGGTGGTGGTGGAGGAGGGACGTACTGTATTCCGAGGCGGTGGGGGAGTCCAGGGAGTGGAGGGAGTCGAAGGAGCTCGAGAGCAGGGTGTCTTGGAGCTGGGGGAGGTGAGGGGTGGGCATCTTGTGGTTGATGGGATGTTGTTTGTTTGTTTGTCGCGGTGTTTAGTTAAGTTGTGGTTTGTGGTTGCGGTGCCGGTTGGAGCTGGTGGTGGTTTATGGTGGTTTATGGTGGTCTGTGGTGGTTTGCTTGACGGATTCAGTACTCGCGCGTCTTTGCCAAGAATAGCTCCGGGACCCGATGGCTTGGCGATTTCAAGGTACAAGTGGTTGGTGACGACAGCAACATCTACTCGACGATTTTTTAAGTAATCGGAACGGGGAAATCAGGTTACGCAGGTGTAAGTGAGGCTTGGCAGCAACGAACTCGGTTACACTACGGCTGAGATGATGTTTTCTTGCATCACCTTCCCTTCCGGTTTTATCAATTACTATCAAACACAATGGTCCGTCCAGATTTCAAGCGAGATATGTAATTGAATGAAAAGCTAATAGGAGATAAAGAGGTAAAGCTAACTGAAGTTTAGGTAAAGAAATAACACCAAGAAGACGTGCTGTAATAATTACAATGCTCGTCCATGGCCTGCTATATCACGTGATACGAGCACGTACTGGAGTCGCAACCTCTACCGCAAGTGATATCTACATTTGAGCCGTCAAAACAGCCACCCTCTTGGCAGCAAAGTGGTAAAAGGAAGCACCTTTCCAGCTTTCAGAGCTCCTAGGTGTATGTGAGAGTGGGCTAGGGGCTTCAGATATAGGAAGAGTAGGAGAAAATATTCTAAGACTCCTGGACGAAGAGAATATTGAACCAGGAGTCCTAGAAGCGGGAGGAGGCATGAGGAGGGGGATTCCGGGACTCCTGAATAGAGAGAATGGTGAACCTGAGGCTTTGGGAGTGGGAAGTTTGGAGATTGGGGTTCCGGAGGTCCAAGTCTCAGGTGTGAAAAATGTACAAGGAATAGCTTTGGAACAGCAAGGTGGATTAGACAATACCATCAGAGTGTCAGCTGGTGAAGCAGATTGTTGGAGCTTTGGAATGCTGGGAATAGGATCCAATAGAGGATCAATAAGAAATGATACCAGGTTTTCATTCCTGGATCTTATTTCTACGAAGAATATCGATTTAAAGCACCGTTCTGGCTGGCCACAAGCATTATCCGAAAGCGAAAAAAACTCCCTAGTAGAGTTTGTAAAACACGATTTTACAACACGTCGGATGGCACTAGTTGATATCCACCGCAAGTCTTGACTCTCACATGTTTCTGATACTACCATTTGGAAGGCATTAAAACAGAAGGGTATAAAGGCCTACCAAGAAGAATTTAAGTTTATTCTTAGGCCAGAAAATAAACTTCGAAGACTGAGCTACTGTTTGGAAAGGAGATCCTGGACTCAAATTGAGTGGAGCAACTATGGTTTTACTGCCGAGATGTCAATTGAGATAGATGCTTTATTTGGAGTACAACTTATTTGGCGAGATATGACAGAGCACTGGCATGAAGACTTTGTGGGCGCATTGAAGAAGCAAGGAGCATCTGTTATGTGCTGGGGGATGATAGAATGGGGCTGGAAGTGTTAGGCGGAGACAACTTAATAGACTTCAAGGTTGTCTAGGCCAATCGAGATTCGTTTCTGTAGATGGAGATTGTCTAGGAAGGCTCGGACTTTACTCATTTCGTTTATGACTACTAGGAGCAAAGTAAAATAAGTAAAGTAGGGTAGAATTGTAAAAGCAATATGATATTGTTAAGGTCTCGTCTCCGTTGCTTGATAATGTCTAAAGCTTGAGAGGCACTTCGATATTTATATTCCACGTCTGAGTGTTCACAAACTACATCTATTTATCATACAACTATGTACTTCTTCAATCGTAATTCGCGACGTCGAGTTTTCTTCCAAGGTGCGAACACCGTTAGACCCTGAAAACCATCACACCTTTTTCAGTAATTACGATATTTCTTCTTAGGAAACGTGCTTTCCCCAATAGTAATATCCCAATTAGGAGAGTCTTTAGACTTATAGCCTAGTTCTTAAGTCGAACTGAGTTGGCCCCAATTGTCTTTACCATTAATAAAATGATCAGTTTTATCCATGGCTATATCTGCAAAGGTGGTCGTCATTACAACCATCATAGGTTGTCTGACTTTGATCCTTTGTAACTCCATATTCAACCAATAGATTTTCTCTGGATGACTTCCTATTAACTCGCAGGAAGCTATTCCACCAGATTGGTAATTAATCTCACGGTCGGCAACTCTTAGTTGCTCTCTGGGTAGTAGGTTTCAGTAACCATTATAGTATTGAGAATCACCCCATGGCTACAACATATTCTAAAACCCAGTTGCAACACTCTGTGAAGTTCGTTGGCTTCTTTGGTAGTGTCTTTGGAGTTTTAAACTCTTCTGGTGGATGTAAGGGTATTGGTCTCTAGTAGAGATCCTTTACCATTTGATACCATCTCTTTGTGTGAAATCATCCTGTTACCTATGAATCATACCAAAGGTGTCATATATTTGAAGCCATGTAACTCTCTGAGTAGCTGATGAAATTACTTCGTTCTACTTTCCAGACGTTGCCGAAGGTCCCAACCTATCTATCCTGTGAACAGGATTCGGACGGATGGACAGCAATGACCTATATAGTATTATTCTAATACCTTCAATTCTGTGATAATATAGTCACAGGACGTAACTGAGATTAATATATATGATGATGCATGGGCCCCGTAAGGGAGCCAGAGGGGGGTGTTTCAGACCAGAGATTCCAATTCCGAGTGGGGTTACTCTACTTAGGGTGGTTCCTAGGTATCGGGTTCTGGTATTCCTAACAGGAAGGGTGCTTTTCAGGTGTGGGTCACAGAGACAGATGAGGAAAGTGAGGAAGCCACTACTGCTATAGCAATTTTGGAAGCAAACTGGATGATTGAAGATGAGCTTAATAGTACATGGAGGGCTTCAGATGAATGGAAGCAGCTAAAATTTACAGAACAGGCTGCTTATAGACTACAGCGCCATGCCGAGAAGTCAGCAAATGTATCCAGGAAGTGAATTCCTCAAACATGACGTGGCAAGAAATATAAGATTGAATGATATAAGAGGGGGGATGGGAAAGGGGTAGACTCTTAGCACTATGTCAAGGGGGTTGCTTGTCCTGTAACGTATTTGCAAGGTGCTAATCACGTTATCGGTAATGGATACAATAGTTGGCAGGCGACCTGCCCTTCCAGAGAGGAGGCGAGAGCTGAGAACTATTGGAGGCTTTGAGGGTGTACTGAGGAACAAAGAAGTAACCGTTCAACCAAGTATATTGAAATACTGTCTGTCGAAGTCTGCCTTTTCTATCGTAGAAACAGGTGGTCTTTAAATACACAAATCTGTTCATGCCTAGCATGAACGAAACTAATCAAAGGTATCAATCAATACACTTTGGTAAAACTAATTAAGTATCAAAGCGATACTTAAAACAAAACATAAAACAAAACTAAGTATCAAACAATACTTAAAACAAACTAAGTATCAAAGTGATACTTAAAACAAAACATAAAACAAAACTAATAATCAAATGATACTTAAAACAAACCAAGTATTAAAGCAATACTTAAAAAAAAATATAAAATAAAACTAATAACCACGTACTCGTACCGGTTACATGTCCTCTCCTCTGGCCTGAATATTTCCTCCAGCTACAGCGCAACCCAGACTTTATTCTTATAGAGGATAACACTCCATCACATTCATCACATTACACTACCCGGGAACGACAAATGGAAGGAATTTCAAAGATTGATTGGCCTCCAAACTCGCCTGATTTTAGTCCTATAGAACTCATATGGACTCTGATGAAAAGCAGGATTCAAACACACAGGGGTGTAGAGAGAATTACTACTCAAATACAGATGAAGTCTATCTCATATAAGAAATGGGCCCTGATCACAATTCAAGAAATTGATAAGAAAGTTACTAAACTTTCTACTATTATGGCTAGATGTATTGCTGTTAATGGTAGTAATAATTTTCATACCTAGCCCCTATACACACACCCCTCCTACTAGTTCATTCTATAGTAGTCAATTCCTAGTATGATGCAGGATAAATTTAATATATACTTTCAATCATTGAGTGGATAACTGTACCTTATACATGTGGTATTCTACTTACCCCATCCTGTGGGGTCTTGGGTAACCTATGTTCCGATTTCTTAAAAAATCGTCAAGTAGTAGCAACCCTCTAGATCAACAAATATCTACATTATACCACAACTATTCTGTGACTCAGATGCCGCAAGGGAAGAGTTTTTCTATGCAAATGAGAGGAGCTATTATTGAGATAAGAGAAGAAGCCATTATCACATACGATGATATCGAGGAGGTGCTTAGAAGGACAGTTTCGGTAGCAGCAATAAAAGGAATTTGCAGTTGAATAAAGGTATTTCTGATCGTTACTTGAACTGTAGTAATTGCAACTAACTGGGAACTATAGACTCGCGCAGGTGATAAGGCAGGCTTCTTAGAGCTGCTAAACCATCTTGAGGATAGGGAAAGATTAGAGCCTGGGATTCTGCAAAAAATTGCCAAAAGCTCCGCCGAATCAGTAACACTCTGAGACCTAGCTCTCTAGGATTAAGAGCATTGGCAAAAAACATATCCAGAGATTGTCAAAGAGGCAGGAGTGGAGACTTTATGTTCTCACATATATAAAATTATGAAGGAATACCATAACCTCGAGCATTTTGATCTAGAACATAAGCCTAAATTAAATCACCATGATTGGGCTGCTCATGTTCAGCTTGCAGATTGGGCATTGGAGAAACCCATTGAAGCTTTTACCTTTACCAATGAATTATGGATTGAGATTGGTGGAACCCGGGGTCGGCAGAAAATTACACGTCCTCACGGCTCAAATCCGTACGACTATGTTGTTCCAGTTGATAAGCCTCTATTTACGCTAATGCTTTCTGCATGTATAGCTCTCAGGCATAAAGGTACCTTGTACATATGGGAAAAAGAAACAAAGAAGGAACGAAAAGAAAATGCAGAAGAGTTAAAGACTGAGAATAAAGTAAAGCTTCAAAGAATTACAGAGAAGCATAAGCAGGCGACACAGCCAGGAATGACTGAGTGTGATTTCTTACAAGAAAAAAACTAGCGAATCAAGGAGTACAATGAACAACGGAAGCTAGGAGAATCACGAAAGATGCTTGAAGACCTGATTGGGAGTTTGGTAAGGAGGTAGTGGAGCGAAGTTCTGGGGAGGGATTTGATTGGTTCATGTACTGGAAGGAAGTTCTACGACCTTTGGTTTATCCGTTTCTTGAAGCTCTAAGCCAAGAGTGCCAAATGCAAATTTGGTTAATTGAAGACAATGCCAGTAACCATACTCAAGCAGCTCGACTCGATGCAAAAGAAGCAGAAACTCGTGGGATATGTCGTGTACTACATAAACACTCACCAGTCTACAGTCTACCTGTCTGGCCAGCAAACTCCCTCAATATCAACAAAATCGAACCAATTTGGCGTGTACTCAAAGACCATATTGCTCGGCATACTAGGCCAAGAGGGCAAGGTCGGAAGAAGGTTGAAAGGTATAAGGATATTATAAGAAGGGAATGGGAGACTATTCCGCAAGAGGTGGTTGATGGTTATTGTCATACCTTTCATACCAATTTACAGCAGTTGAAGGAAAATGGTGGAAAAAATAATTTCAATACCTAAAGTGTTTTCTAACCATCTAAAATGTCATGTTATCCAAGTCTGGGTTGTTGATGTCTTGTAAGACAGAATGTACCTCGAAAGTGCCAAGCCATCGGGTCCCGGAGCTATTCTTGGCAAAGACGCGCGAGTACGATAATACTTGTAATATTATGATAATAGTATGATAAATACTTAAATTATGATACTGTTGGTTGCGGCAGCTTCCTCCCTTAGTAATAAGCTGACAAAACCTAACCCAAACCTTAAAGTCAAATTTTTTTCTTTTTGGCTCCCTCCCATCAATCACGCCAAGGTTCCCGCCACCCCAAAGGACGCCAAGCGACAATCAAAGTTGACAGCACTCCCAGGCTACGGCCGTCTGAAATCACTGACAGGTAAACCCCTACTGAAAATCAAAGATAAGACGCCCGAGCACAAATCAATTGAGCCAGCAAGCAAGAGAGATGCAAGTAATTTGTAATACAGTAGTCTCAATAGATCGTCACAATCATAACATACTAATATACAGATCGTTACAGTAAAAGTTATCCAATCCCATACCATCCAAGACCAATAAACCAATACCAATACCCAACCCCCCCCACCAACCAACCAACCCCCTAGATTTCATAAACCCTCCCCTTCTCTCTCCGCAACTAATAATAGTACAATCGAAATAAATAAGAAAAAATTTAATAATAAAACAAAGGAGACGCGTTAGGCATAAGTAGGAAAAATTCATACAAAGGTATATCGTATAAACAAATGAAGCACGCAAGTACGCCTCACGCGACGTAAAAAAAAAAAAAAACCCCCCCGAAAAAAGACTGTTACTCCTTGGAATTTTTTGTTAGTAATAAAAAGGACATCTACTGATAAATATCAATACCGAAGAAGAATATGATATAAAGAAACACATGACAGTGGATCTGGGAGCAGAATGGCCTCAGATCCTCCTTGACGGCCGAGGCTTTGTCCTCCGTTTGTCCCGGAGCACCAACTGTCTATTCGAGATGAGGGAGTCCCATCGCTTGCCCAGGGCTTTTCCGTTCCGTCGACCGAGACTTCGCGCGCACTCTTCCCAATCGTCTTTGGACAATTTCAGCTTCCGCAGTACCAATTCGACCAATTGCTTGTCTTCCTCGGAAGTCCACACTGCGTCCTCCTCCTCCGAAGCCTCTGTACTCGTGTCCATGAATCGCAAGTTCCGATTTGGCGGTGAGGGCGCGGTCATCAGCCTGGCACGTTTATTCTTCGGGGTGGAGAAGGGGTCTCGCAATTCCTGGTCCGAATTCTCACTCTCAATGTCGTCCTCCTTCCCGCAGAAGGCCACCGCTCTACACCGTTTGTTCTTGTTCATGGGCGTTCGTACTCCTCCACGAGCGGTCCTCCGCAGGGGCGTGCTCGGCTGAGGCACTTCTCGCAGCTTCATCGGCGACCTTGACGGAGGGGGGGTGCTCGATCGGTCGACGGAGAGAATCTGGTGTAACCGCTTGCATGTCTGTATCAACCCAGACGTCGCATTCGCCATCAGGTTTGGCTCCTCGAGTGGTGGCGATCGGTAGGATGCGAACATCTGCTGTGACTGACGGGAGGACCTTCTCAAAGGACTGGATGGCGCGCGACCATCGCACGGTAATGCGCTCGGTAGAAGCATATTTGTTTGTTGATTTGTTTAAATTCAATTGCCTTTTATCTCGTTTCACTTAGGTATTCGCTCTTCCTCGCTGGCACGTTTACGGTCCCTCGGTTCGTTCGTTCGTTCGTTCGTGGTAACGGATGTGATGTGGTTTGATTTTGGGGGGGATCCGGGTTTTTTGCGGCGGAAAAGTGATTGTCCGGTGTGCTGGCGGTAAGGCACAGTACAGTTAATCGGTAGATTTTCGCGCGGAATGCGGAACAGCAGCGACGCGAATTAATAACGCGCTCAGACGGATGAACGCAGAGGGGTGTGAAAAGGTGAAAGGGAAGGAAGCCTTTTGGCGGCTTTCCTAGTGCGAAATTCTCCCCTTTCTTCTTCGCGTGATGAAGTGTTGTTTTCTCTTAATTGACCGAGTTATGAGGTGGACAGTGAAAAAGGTAAGTGAAAAAAGGGTTGAGTTGTCTGTCCACGTCGGCAACAGGGGAAGAAGGAAGGGAAGAAAAAAAAAAAAAGGCTTTTCCCCCGGATGCACAGGACAAGACAGGCGATGAGCAGGTACTGTTGGTATGTAATGTAGTAAGCACGCAGGAAATACCCACCCACACACACACAATAAACACAAACCGGCACGTCTCCTCAGAGACACACACCAGGCACGAAAAAGAATGGATCAGAACTTGCAGAACAAACGACAAGATGAGAGCGAGTGGTGGATGAAAGGGAATAGAACGAAAGGGAAGGGATGAGCGGATCCGGGCCCGATAATGAAGCTGGTTGAGCACTGTCGATTGAACTGGGGGCTGGTCCGGGCACAAGGGAAGGCAGGGGAAGAAGACATCACTTGACCCGAATAGGTCTAGCAGTCACGAGAATAGAGAGAAATAATTATGTGTCGAGTCCAGTCCATCCCCGAAAAGGGGTGAGTTACGAGTAGCAATTGTTCGGAGGTTTCCCCATGACTCGTCTGACCCTCCCCCAAATGTCCCTTCCCCCAACCAAGGAAACTCCCAGGGACTCTCTCCCTTTTGAGGCGTGCATCATTCCCATTTTGGCATGTTGAGACATCCGCCATTGCTCGGGAGGGAAAGGCCTCGCACCCCAAGCTGGAGGAGGCGCAGGATCTTCCAGGAAGGGAGATTGGTTGATCCCACCCCTATCACTTGAGTCCCCGAATGGATACTCGAGTAACTCCGTTAATTATGTGGGTGTATTGTAACTCTGTAAGAGTATGATGAATATCGTGCCTTCCCCCCTGTTCCCAAGTAAGGTACTGGTGCCGTACAAGTAAAAAAAGCACCCTATCGTGCAACACTCATGCATGGGCAGGAACGATTCACCACTTCCACTTCCACCTCCTACGGTAGTGTCGGTACTCAATTTGATGACCCTCGATAAAGCCATCAAATTCGCAACTCTGGAGCACCGGCACCGGTGCCAGTGGCTCACACCTGCGGAATAATGACGGAAAAGAAACGAGAACAGGCCCCAAATCCTGAACTTCCCTGATGAACCAAACAGCACAGACGCGCACACAAGCACAGCCACCTTCCTTTATTGGGTACCACAAAACCGTGTCACCTGTAGATTGCCGGTGTTGTGTTCGTCCTGTATGATACTGTTATTGTAAACTTCCCAAAGGTTTGCGAAAGGGAGCTCAGTACCCTCCAAACTCCTTTCACCTTTCAGAGCCCCGATTGTACGAGAGCATTCTAGGGGGTGAAATTTTCCATCTGAAGAATGAAACATACCGTGAATTAACCTCCCAAGCGCCAATTACTGTAAACAGGAGAGCTCTGGGGGAAAAAGGGGGGAGGAGACTGGCAGGCAACCTTTTATCCAGTGTGTTCTCCCCCAACCTTTGGGAAGTCCACAATACCAGTATCATATCATACCAAACGAAACGTTGAACCAGAACGAGGGAACCACGCACGGAAAGTGTTTCCACCCCAAGCGTGCGAGATGCCATAATACCGGTACGAGCACAGTACCAATTGACCCCTGAATAGTTACCCGTGTTCCGAAAGGGAAAAAAGAAAAAAAAAGGACCAGATTCAATCTATGCCATTATTTATTGTAATTAAATGATTTGTCACCGTACCGGTACTACAGTACAGATACCATTTCCATTATTTTCGTCATCTCCGTTTCTTTCCCGCCCTCTCTCGTTCGAACACCCTGGCGTGTGCTATGACCGATGAACAGACGGCGGGATGGCTGTCAGATTCCCCACAGCCTTCCCTGACCTCCTCTGCAAGATTGAATGCTCTGCATGATGTGCGTCGGATACTCGTACTGTACCGGTACCCCAAGTGCAAGTACGAGCACCCAAGCCCCGACTGACCACCGGTAATTCATGGTAAGGGTTCCATGCTGAAGACATCAAGACAAATCGCCTTGCCTTGCTCTACCGTACCGATATCAGATGGACCAGCACTTTTTATTGTTCTATCGTGCATACCGGCACAGTGCCGGTATCCCAGAATGGCCTTTCCTCTCGCACTGCACCACAGCGGTAATCTCCCCCTGAAGCAATCATCATAAAAACACACTCAATCACAAACAGTCACCCAGATCCCCCCCCCCTTCAAGCCTGCAATGGGAGGGAGGGGCATCACACCAAGTCACAATCCGGTCCGGCACAGTCCTTGTTTAACCCCCCTCCCCGTCCCCTCGATCCCAGCTGCTCGAGTACTCGAGTATGATACCCGTACAGTGGAAGTACTGGTAATTTTACGCGGGTCAAAGCGTACGTACGGCATGTGATGAACAGTGTTCCGTTCCTAGGAGACAGCGAAAAACAGCGAAAAACAGGACGAGAGGAAAAGAAGGGAATAGATAGAGAGAGAGAGAGAGAGAGAGAGAGAGAGAGAAGTTCCCGCAGTGACCTCCAATCGCTCCGCATCTCATACAGTGGTCTAACGGGTACCGTGGTACTGTGCGTTATCCGCTAACCTGACATGTCGAATGGAGGTCTAGTTTCGAGTGAGCGCTCATGACAACTCTTACCAAAAAAAAAAAAAATTAAATCAAGTTACGAAACGCGTGGGATGCTGCGCTAATTAATATCTGTGATGCGTATAAGAAGATATTGTAAGTTACAATGTCGCGCGGGAAAAAGTTGGGGTTCGCGCGGGTGGAGGGGATGTGTAACCCGAGTCCTGTGACGCGCCCAGTCAGGCACCAAAATAAAACGGCTGTTCCTGCCAAGACAACTTTAATGTTCGGTTGTGTTTCAGGTGGCTTGGCCAGGGATGATGGGTGAGTTAACCCACGAGGGAGGAAAATTGTCTGCGGGGTCAACTTTGGTGGTGAGCTGCGGGGAGGGAAATGAGTGTTTGGTGTGATTGGCCTGGGCATAACATAGGTTTCCGCTCACGCTTCTCTCCCGGGAATAACTCCCGAAGCCGAATATCCAGCCAGGACCCCCGCAAGGTATTGGCTGGTCGGCGTGGCCTTGGTGAAGAAGGTGCGTGAGCGTGGTGATGCTCGGGTTGCGGTGCTGGTATCATACGGGGTGCTACATTCGAGTGTCATACTAAGAACTTGCCGCGAGTTTTTTTCTTTTCTTTTGCCATCATACTGGAGTGGTTGAGGCTCCAATCAAACATCTCTTATGCCAACCCTTCTTTAACATCAGTTTTAATCCATTGATATTGCTCGACCGGTATTTAACTTCTTCTCCTGAGTATTAATTTACCTTAAAGGTGTTTGGAAATGCACACCACTCGAACGTTGACGTGTCAAACGGGTTCTAAATGCCTTGTGTTGTGGCTGGCGAGTATTTGTGCAGGGATATTCTCGAAGCATATCCATAGTAATAATATTATGATAATAATGGAATGATATCGTGCGAATAATCCAAACCCTACAAAAAACCCTACTGTAATCCCCAACCTATCACATGATACCTACCTGCCAGCCCACTGAGCCAACTTCAATGGCAAGCAAGCACACACACCTATCACTCCCATTGAACTCCACGCCAACACCATTGATCCCATCTCACCCCTTATAATCTACACCACCCTCAAACTCCCCACCGCCTTCAACTCCATTCATCTCTATAACAATCCTTCATCCACATCCTCGCAATAACACTCCCCACGACCACCCACCAAACTGCCGTTTAGAGTATCCAACAGATGTCTCACTACATTACTACCCCTACCCCTGCCACTACCCGCGCTTCTATCGTCACCCCGGACACCGCTTCCGTCTGCTCCCTCGCCTCAACCGTCTCTGTGGACTGGGAAAATGAGAAGAGGGGAAACACAGATCCTCCTGCTGCCACAACTCTCGCACCCGCCGCTGTAGAAGAGAGAGGAGAAACTGGGACCAAAACTGGCTCTCTCATTATCCGCAATGTGCCTCCCCCCTTCCTCACGCCACAATTTCGAAAGAATCCAGCTAATAATAATAATAAAAAATAACCAGCTCTTTATCATTGGCTTCTTGATCCCGCTGGCTTGGGTGATCGCCATTATCAAAGTCTTCATCCTAGATCGCGGCAACAAGCCTTCCCCCTCCGCCGCCACCACCACCACCACTGCTACCTCCGCTGGTGGGCACACCGACATTGAAGCAAACACTCTTCGGAAAAAAGAAGAGAGATATCGCGAGGGACCATATTGGGCCTGTCTTTGCCTGATAGCTGGAATAGTTTACATTTCTGTTGGGATGACTATTGTTTGGATCGTTTATGTGGAGAAGCAGCGTCGGGCGAGCTTGGATGAGTGACTTGGTGGGAGAAAAAGGAAATATCTTTTCAATACTTGTTTTGTTCTGTGGGTGGGTGGGGGTTTGCTTAGTTTTTCGATCGGTTCTCAGAGTCTGTATAGGTGATTTGCTCATATTTTTCCTCTAGTGATAGGGTGGCAGGTGGATACACTCGTGCCACAGATTGTTTTCCAGTGTATCTGGTGTTTTTTCTGTTTTATGGTCTGTAAATAAAGTCATAGTAGCTTGCCTATCACACAGTGACTAACAAATTGTAAGAGTGGAATTTTCGAGTAATTAATCATGACTCGATTAAATTCCTGCTATCCCTCAAAAGGCGGAGGGGGGGAGGACGAGGAATACCGACGGGGAATTCTGAGCACCGAAATTATCTCTCTGGAACGCTCGGTGCCGACGTAAGTTCCAAAAAAAAAAAGATTTCCTCCTTTTCTTTCAACCCAAAAAGCTAGGTACTGGAGTAGTTAATGGACGAAAAAACGAGTTTTTATCCTTCCTTCCCCATCAAGTCTTACGATAAGAGAATTAAATCCTGACATTTTTATCATTCCTAGAAATCATCACCCGTCAACTATCACACACACACACACTGAGCAAGAAAAATTTTGGAAATTCCGGTACAGTTAGTGGGGCATTCCTGCAACCACATCCAAGTTGATTTTTGTTGTATACATATCATCACTTTATCCAGTACAACCAAAATTTTATCTCAAAAAGCTACTCCACCCCCTCTCTCATGATACCTCCCTTTTTAGTGGTGTGGCCAATCACAGTCATCCCTCCTAAAGCTTCATCCTCCTCTCCAAGAGCCTAGGACACTGGCCATAAGACCATCTTAAGCCCTTACTATGTTCTTTCCACCCTCATCCCCACTACCATACACTCCTCACTCATCCTCCCCCCTGGGTGGCAACAGAAGCTCTACAAAGAGCACCAGGATCGACTCACCAATCCATTTTACACCATGCTCTCTCCAAGGAGTGACCTTCGTCTTCTGCCTACCCATGTTTGTGACCATCAAACATGTCCACTATTGCTTGAACACCTTGGTCAATGTTGAAAACAAGATGGTAGTATGAGGCAGCACCTTCCTGAATGTCAACTGAGGACTTAGATGCACAGACAACTGCTAACGTATTTCACCCCGAAACTGCCCATTGCCGGGTAACCGCCCACCTTGGGTACTTGAGATTACCCCACTTTAGAATACCTCAAACAAAACAACGATAACTCCAAACCACACAAGATTTTCAAAATGGGTCAAGTATGCCAGCAAGTTGATGCTTCAAGGGAACTCCTATTTGCTTCAGCATTAGAAAACTTGCAGACAGGCAAAATTAGAAGTATTAGGACTGCAGCAGAGAGATATGGTTTGTGGTATGAAACATTGAGAGATAGGAAGAAGGGTGCCGCAAATCGAGTTCTAAGCCATAAGGACCAACAGCATTTGACAAATGCAGAAGAAAAGGCCATTGTAGCATGGATTGAGAGGGTGGATGACTATGGCTGGCCACCAAAAATCGAGTATGTGAAGCAGATCGCTGCTGGGTTCATGAGAAGCTATGAGAAGGGGAAAACTGTGCTAGGAAGGAATTGGATTACCCAGTTTCTTGACCAGCATCCTGCTCAAGCTACTAAATTTGCTACTAGACTTGATAAGCAGCGTTCCTATGCCAGCAATCCCATTGTGTTGTGGGTCTTCTTTACCAAGGTATGTCAAGTAATTACCTACCAAATACTAAGATATATGAACTTTAAATTTAATTATTAAGATTAGCTATGCTCTACTATTACAGCCCATAGTATTTTGCCAGAAAATATTTATAATATTGATGAAAAAGGATTTATGATGGGTATGGCCATGAAGGTCAAAGTTATCTGCAAGCAAGAAAAAAAAAATACACGGAAAACACAGATAGGAAAAAGAGAAATGATTACTATAATAGAAACTATCTCAGCTGGGGGTAGTGTGCTTCCCCCTATGATAATTTATAAGGGTCAGGCACACTATAAGGGTTGGACAGCATTGGTGAAAGCGGGAGATAAAGCTTTTTTTGCCATTTCAGATAAGGGATGGACCTCGCAGTCAATTGGCCTTGATTATTTGACTGAAAACTTTGAGCCAAATACTTCAGAACGGTAAGATCCTCGATGTCTAAGCAACTATAATTACTACTGCTGGATAGAGCTATGGGAGCTATATGACCTCTTATTCTGGATGGACATGACTTGCATGTTACATGGAAATTCTTGGATTATTGCTTGCAAAATGATATAATTCCTCTATGTATACCTGCCCACTCTACCCATATCTTGCAGCCTTTACATGTAGGACTATTTGGTCCTCTGCAATAAAATTATAGTCACTGCTTAGATGACTACATGGAGGGTGGAGAGACAGGTATTAATAAAGGAGACTTCTATTCGTTAGTCTACCATGAATTAAATAATTTTCATATTTTTTAATACAGGTTGTTCATGCTAATATCTAATAGGCTATTGATAAAAGCACGGAAGATGACCTATACAAAGAAGAATATTCAGAGTGCCTTTGAAGCCACTGGAATCGTTCCTCTTAATGAGGGGTGGGTTTTAAGCCCCCAAAAGTCCACCATTGGTACCCATATTCCGCAACCATCAACCAAGCCAGAATTCCGAGTTCCTGTCACTCCTAGCTATGGTATAAGCATCCTAATCCATGGCAGAAAGACACTCAATGCTCTTCCTAAATCTACACCTAAAAGTAAGTATACCCGTGGTTTAGTTACTAAGCTTCTTAATGCTGCTGCCCAGGCCACTGCCGATAATGTTATTCTTGCAATTGAGAATGCCAACCTGCGAGAAAAGGCCACCAGTGCAGCTGATAGGGTGAAGACCAAGAGCAGAAAAGAGATGTCCAAAGCATGGGTTATCTCTGTGGAAGATGTGCTACAGCTACGCCATGCAGTCGAGGAAAAAGATCGTATCCTAGCAGAGAGAAAAGCAAAAACTACACAATGGCGAGCTATCAAAGCAGCTCAACCAACTCCAACCAACGCTACTTCACTTAAGCGAAACCAATAATCCAGAAAGCAGGTTGCCATTAACCTGAGTCCAGAGATTATTACTCTGGAAACTTTAAATTTGGACTCAGATTCTGAGCCTGAATGGATTGATAGTGGCTCAGAAACTGGGTATCATGGAGCAAGGCAGCGCGTTACTCAACCACAATCACAGCGAATCACCTGCAGCCAACTTCGTGGGACTTCTTAACCAATGTAGGATCATGGGGCTTCGCTTTTTTATTTTTTATTTTATTTATTGCGTGTACATTTTGGGTATTGGATTCAATGGGAAATTTTGAGTAACTTCTCCGTGATGGGTGGTTTCCCGGTGAAATACATTACATGCAAATACAGGGAGAAGTGATAGAATCCACTATTATAGTCCTACAGCGAGAACTTTCTGGCCTTTATACAGCCCTCTAAAGAGTATTTAGAATCGAGACTGTGGATGCAGCTGACTCACATGCACTGGCAGTACTGACCCTTACAATGTCCACCTTCTACCTGTAGGCTGAGAGTCCTGTGATCAAGTCTTAAATTTCCCAAGTGCCGGCTATATTGGAAACAAACATGCCTATAGAAATGTTCCACTCCTTCTAGCCACTACTTGGACCAGAAACAGTACTAGAAACACAGGATTCATAGAAGATAGCCAACACGCACACAGTTCTGAGAAACTAGAAAGGAAGAGACTGGTATGCTTCACAAGCCTGATTGAGATACCTAGAACTAGCACCAGAAATGAAACAATTAACTCCTCCAGCGGAACCAACCCTGGACCCAAACTATAGACCTAAATCCACCCTCTGGAACCCTCTTCTATCCTTGTCCACTACTCCCGAACTGTCAATCCAGATCCATGAAGTCTGCTAAGAAATCAGCTCAAAAGAGACAACCCCTGATAACATGACCCACCTTATAGGAGAACTGTGTAGATTCCCAACTAATGGCTCCATTTTGTACCTGCTTATCCACCTGGATGTGAGCAGTGCCAAAATGCTACAGAAAATAGAAGACGGGATCATGAACAGTATCGTTCTCAACAGGAGTGATTAGAACGTATTACTTAGACTAGGCCACCTCTCCTCTCCTCCTCCTTCCTCCTTTTCCTTCCTACCACTACCCAGAGAGTCCCAATTCCTAAAGCACAAGGAACAAGCCAGAGCAAGATTTGCTCCCTGTTGTACAATACTGCAAACACTGCTCTCACCCTCCTAACAAACCTGAAAGAAAAAGGAAAAGCACCAGCCAGACTGGTACAGTTTCTAAAAAAGCCCAATCCTGTACAAGACGCTGGAAATGACAGCACTCTCCCCTCACCCTTGCTGTCAACAAAAACCAATATTAAGAAAACTTATATGTCTATCTTGGCAGCCGGTATTGGCGTGGATGGATTCTGGCTAATTTCAGCCACAAAGTGCAGAAACTAAGATATAGGCTCAATCATTGGATCAAGCAACATGGTGATGTCAGCTTTCTCGATCCTACACCTAAGAAAACACAGACTCCTGATCTACTTGGTAGAGAGAGGCAGGCATATCAGAGTAGCAGGAAGGCCATCAGTCTATATAAGGGATGTGGTCAACAGCGTCTCTAAAGTGAAATTCATCTGCTCCAGATTTAACAGAAATGAGGACCTGGTGCTTATCACACTGGAAAGTGTCTCGGCAGAAATGGCATTTTAGGATCTCACAGCAATCACTAGGTTCCTAAATGATAGATATTTTCAGCTTCAACATTACTGGCAATGTCTCATCCATAAACATTATGATTAATAGTACATCCCTGAGCGATAACTGGGAAGCGGAATACTGGAGTACAGACTCTGAAAGCTGGAGTGAGCTGGAAAGGGAAATTGGGTGATACAACCCAAATATCAAAATCCTTGACCGACTAAAGTGGATATGGTCACTAGAAGCCCTTAAGGCAGAAGGGAAGGAAATGTTCTTGATAATAGTCTCTATCGAGGCGAATGTATGAGCCATAGAAGAAACCAAAAAACCTATACCATACCTCGCGGTCTTTGGCAAAAGATGGTTATTCCAGAAGTATGTCAGGTCAGACACCTCGGTCTGCTGTGAGAGATGCTTGCAATATGGATACCACGTAGTTCACTGCCAGCTTGATGTGA